CAACTAATTTTCAAAGAAATATTTGAAGAATAATCAATATAGCAAATATTAAATAATTGAGTACTTAAGTGTTATTTTATTTATTTTATTTATTAAATGAAATATTATTTTATTTATTATGTATTTTTTATTTGAAATCAAAATTTTATTAATTTAAAAAATTATTAATAGTTTATATAAAAATATTTTTCGTTCATATATTTTTACTCATAACTTGATTCACGTATTATGCAAATAAAACGTGTAGTTGATAACCCTACTTAATCAATAGGATATCTTTTGTTTAATTACAAAGTACATTAGTTCTGCAAAAAAAAAACAAAAGGTAAATTTATATCTGTTTTTTATTTATTTATTTATTTACATATTTAAAGAATAAATTTGTTTTTTATATTTTTTAAATTATTATAAGAAATATATGTACTTCAAAAATAAATTTATTCTTTAGATCTATTACAATTATTTAAGTTTATCAATATTTTTATATTCCATAAAATAATATAAATTTTCAAAAATAGACAATTGTTGATTAATATTATAAATATTATAAATTTTTTAATGTAATTAAATTTTTAATTTTTTTTATTTTTATATTTCTCATTTCATAAATTTCAATAACTTTGTTTAGTAATAATAAATTATGAAATTTTAATTCATTGGAATTTTATTGCGGAAGAATTATTGTTGTTAAATAATTTTATAAAATATTTTATTATCCTAATTTTCGTATTATTTTAATTATAGAAAAAAATAAAATGTTTATATTTTTGCTGAATTATATATATAACAAATCTTATATAATATATGTAATATATAAAAAGAAATATGTGTATAATGAAGCATCTATATATTTTAATAAATAAAGTAATTATTATTATCGTTTATTAATTATTATCATTTAGTAATTAATAAAATAATTATTATTATATCATAAATAACTGATATAAGAATAATCATTTATTTTTATATATGAACATTCTATGTAAAATAAATATAATATAATGTAGTACTGAAAATCTTTAATGCTTCATGTTTTATTGTTTTAAATTTATATATAAATTTTTGATAAAATAAATTATATTAAAAATATATTATATATATATTTATCAAATTAAATGAGATAATTAGAAATTCTTTGTAGGGATTATCATCATGTTAAGGAATTATATAATTTCATAGATGATTGTGCGTGGTTATTTAACTACATTAATCAAGCGATATATTTGGATTCAATATCATTCGTATATTAAAATGACTTCTTTGCTGGTTCCTTCGGAATCAGTACAAGGAATGACATGTTTGGATCGCACTGCATTCACAACTACTGTTGAATTACCATTTTTAAAAGTTCATGGTATAAAATTATCAAATATAATACCTATAGTAAAAAAATATTTGTTTAAAATAAAAAATTTTAAATCAATTCAAAGTATGGATAATGAAACTATTATATATTTGAATCCACTGTTAATACAATGTTTTGAAGATTTTGTAGAAGATGAAAAAAAGCAATTACTAAAAATGTACAATCAATTTGGAATGACAAAAATAATTTTGAAATATGATAACTGGCAATCTTATGATATATTAAGAGCTATTTTACCTAAGGAAATTGAAGTTCCAACCTCATATAGCATAATTGGTCATATTGTGCATTTAAATCTACGTGATATACATTTACCATATAAAACTATTATTGGTCAAGTTTATCTTGATACAATTCCAAATGTTCGAACAGTTTTGAACAAAATAAATATTATTCATACAACTTTTAGAAATTTTACTTTAGAAATCCTTGCAGGTGATAAAAATACCATTGCAACAGCAAAAGAAAATGGTTATATATATGAGTTAGATTTTTCTCAAGTTTATTGGAATCCTCGTTTAAGTACAGAACACAAAAATTTAATAACATTTATGAAACCTAATGATGTTTTATATGATGTATTTGCTGGAGTTGGACCATTTGCTATTCCTGCTGCTTGTAAAGGAATTAAAGTATTTGCAAATGATTTAAATCCTGAATCTTATAAATGGTTACAAAAAAATATCATTACTAATAAAGTTAAAACAAATATTCAATCTTTTAATATGGATGGTAGAGATTTTTTAAAAACTATTTTTAAAACTGATATTTTAAATAGGAGAGCTACTAATCAAAGTGGTATAGAACATATAATAATGAATTTGCCAGCACTTGCAATTGAATTTTTAGATGTATTTTTTGATTCTTTTAATGAAAATGAAATTAAACAAATTTGTTATCAACCACCAATTATTCATTTATACTGTTTTGTAAAAACAAATAAAGGAGAAAATGCTTGTAAATTGGGACAATTATTAATAGAACAAAAGCTTGGCTGTAAATTAACATCTAATTCCTTAATTGATTTACATTTTGTCAGAAATATTTCTTTAAATAAAAAAATGATTCGTATATCATTTTTATTGACTAAAAATATATTAATGGGCGAGGAGCCAGCAATGAAGAAATTAAAAATGGAAAATAATTTTAATATATATGTAAGTAATAATATTACAGAAAATAATGGGAAAAAACAAGAAATTACAAAAGAAACAAATAAACAAAAATGTGTTTAAAATAGCAACAGTTCGTAGTGTTAAACTAAAGGCAAAAGCGCAAAAAGTGATGAATAATTTAAAAAAAGTAAGTAAATTTTTTAAGACAATATAAATTACAAAAATAAAATATATTTAAATATTAATGATGAACATGAATTTATATATTTCACAAATAAATATATTTAGATTTCAATATATGTAATAAGATAATATGTAGAATATAATAAATAAAATATAATAATATATGCCATTTTTCTTTCTTAATTTTAATAGTTGGACTTGAAAAAAAATAAAACAACTAAGAGAAATATAGATAAAACAGTGCAAATTGATCAACAGTTTCAAGAATTACGAAGAGAAGTAAATAAATCTAAATCAAAAATAAAAACTAATGCAAAACAAAACAAAAAAAAGAAGATGCAAAATATAGCACTAGTACAAACTGATATAACAACTTCTTTAGTTGACAAAATGCAAATTTAATCAATATTTTTAGTTTAGTGTTTAAAACTTATAATATTTTGTATTTAATTAACAATATAATATTCATTTATTTTATACAATATATCAAAAATATTGTAAATAATATATTATGTAAGTTTTTAGTGAACAAATTTCTTATCAAATAAATATAATTAAATACATAAACTTAATGGGTTTGTTTCTTATCACCTAATTATCTCTTTTTATTTATCTGGACATAAATGTCAAGAAGCTTTATGGTATCTTATTTGATTAATGATAACTTTAGTTTTTTATAAATTTTAAATGAAGAATTCATAAATATAAATCTATTTTAATCTGCACAGGAAAACCATTCATGATGGAAACTGTCTATACTGCTGGTTTAATTGTAATAGGAGATGAAATTCTACGTGGACAAATTATAGATACAAATACATCATACTTGGCAAAAAAATTACAAGCTTCTGGTATTAAACTTCGGAAAGTAACAGTGATTCTTGATATTGTGTGTATTACTTTTTTAAAAAATCTTTGTTTTTCATAATTGTGTATAAAAATTATAAAATATTTATATTTTAATCATAT